CCTCCCGCGCCCCGTCGCAATGAGGGAGTCTCTGGGGAGGGGCGGGGCCGGGTGGTGCTGGCCGAGGCCGGAGTTGGATCGCGTGCTCCCGGGCAAGTGTGAGGAGAGGAGCCGGCGGGAGCGGGGCTGCGCGCTGCTTCCAGATGCATTTTATAGGAGTACTTTGAGGATGCTTGTTTTCAAACCATTTTAAATTGCCAAGCATCCCATGCATGGGATGCATACTGCTTTTATCTTGGAGTTCTCCTCTGCGGCTTGGTTTTCTCACAGCGTTTGTCTTCAATTTGTGTGTTAGCTAGAAATCAAGAAAAGACGTGAGATCTGTTTATTGCAAGGTGGTTCTGGCCGCTTCACTGCTGTGGGTTCTTGTCGATGTCTTCCTACTCCTGTTCTTCAGTGAATGTAACAAATGTGATGGCAAAGAGGAGCGATCCCTGCTACCCGCACTGAGGGAACTTCCCATGAGGATTGACTAGTAACAGCCACCAGAGCATTGCTTGTGGAGGAAGTAAAAAGAAAATCAAGCTGACAATAAAATTATCGGTAAAAGCTTTTTTTTGAGGAAGCTTTATAAAGTGAAAACTATACCCATGATAAATTTAAGAGATTAAAAATTAGACCCTTGTTCAGGTTCTAGTTATATTGGTAAAATAGGATGTGGAAAATAATTTTCCTAAAAGGAAAATAATTTGTATTGTAACTATTGTAAATTATATCAGCAAAGTTAAAAGGAGGTTGGATCAAGAATCTAGTTCACTAAATCCTACAAAATGATTTTTTGACTCTTGAGGTGGCTCCTAAGTAGAAATTTTTGCCATATCATTGTTTATTTTACTACTGTGCTTTTGTAGACACTCCTATCATTTTGAAGCAGCAGTTGTCTCTATGAGAAAGTAGGATTCTATCTTTGGTGTATTTATTAACAGCAGAGGTCCTTCCTCTTGTGCCATATTTTCTAGCATGTAGCTTTTATTTTTCTTTTCAATTGAATCAGTATAGCTTATGGAATTGTCTACAGATTGAAATAAGTTCAGTGCTGTTTAAAACAAACAAACAAACAAACAAACAAACAAACAAATGAGGACTGGGGATGTAGCTCAGTGTCCTGGGTTCAATCCCCACCTACCACAAGACAAAAAACAAAACAAAAAAACCCAGTTTTTTTTGTTTTCTTTTTTGGCCAGAATTTCATCCTGGGCTATGGCCTATGTTTTCATTTTCTTAAGTGTCTTTGGCAAAACAAAATTTTACTTAGGTTGAATTTGTTTCCTGATTAATGGATCATACTTTTACTGTTACATCTCAAACCTCATTGCTAGGGGCTGGGGATTTAGCTCAGTGGTTCCTCCACCTGCCTTGCAAGGACAAGGACCCAAGTTTGACCTCGGTACCAAAAAACAAAAACCAAAACGAAAATCTGGACTTTTAGGGGCCGGGGATTTATCTCAGTGGTTTTGTGGTCTGCCTTGCAAGCGCAAAGACCCGAGTTCAATCCCCAGTACCAAAAAAAAAAACCCCAAAACAAAACAAAAAAACAAAAACCTCATTGCCAAATCCAAGGTCGTTTAAATTGTTTCCTGTATGATGTTCTACAAGTTCTGAATTTTGCATCTTATGTTTGGATTTATCATTGGTTTTGAGTTAATTTTGTGACAGTTGTAAGATCTGTGTCTAATTCATTTCCATATGGATATCCAGGCTTCTCAGCACCATTTGCTGAAATGAGTACTTTCTCCATTGAATTGCCTTTGTTCCTCCATCAAAGATCAGTTGGCCATAGGGCCAGGAATTTAGCTTAGTGTTGCGGTGCCTGCCTTGCAAGTAAGTGCAAGGTCCTGTCCTGAGTTTGATCCCCAGCACCAAAAAGAAAGAAAGAAAGAAAGAAAGAAAGAAAGAAAGAAAGAAAGAAAGAAAAGATCAGTTGACTATATTTGTGTGATTTTATTTGTGGTTTCTCTCTGTTGATCTAATGCCCATGTTTTGCAAACACCACAGTGGTTTCATTACTGTCGCTTCATATAACTCTTATAGTTAGGTCGTGTCAATGTTGTATCCTTATCTTAAGGCTATTATCTTGGTCATTTTGGATCTTTTGCCTTTTTGTATAAATCTTGATTCTAAAGGTAATAACATTGTACTTTTATTTATTTTTTCTTTTTTTGATAGCATTGGGGATGGAACCTAGGCCTAATGTTGTGATTAGGTCAGGAGAGCAGATTCCCCCATGAATGCGATGACCTTCCTAAAAGAGGCCAGAGAGGGCTTGTTTCAGAGACAGCACCTTCTAGCTGTGTCCTCCCTGCACCAACTCCACACAAGGAATGTGAACGTGTACCGCAAACGTGTACAAAAGAAGAGAGAGATCAAGGGACGGGTGGAAGGGGGCAGGGTGGGATCCAGCTAGAAGCTGTCTCTGAAATGGATCTCATAGATATAATACTTAAGAGGTGCCATATGTAGTAGTGCCAAAATTTGGACTTTCTCGCTGGTAGAACTATGAGCAATACATTTCCATTGTCTGTCACTTACTCAGTATGATGTATTTTGTGAATAATTTTTTGGGGGGGTACTGGGGATTGATCTCAGGACCTTATGCTTGCAAGGCAGGCGTGGAGCCACTGAGCCAGCCCATTGTGATGTATTTTGATAAACTGCCCCAACTAAGACTAGTTTTTTTGTTTCTTTCCTTTTTTCTGTCCTGTGTAAATTATGCTTGGCGTTAACTTTTTTTTTTAAAGTTTAAATTTTATTTGTACGTGTGAGTAGTATATAAGGTTTACATTCCTTTTAGGAAGTTGGTACAGGGGCATAACATTTTAATTTCATCTTTTATCCCCTTTTCTTTCCTCCTTCTTTACCTGTCCTTGATCCTCTTTGCTGTTTCGTAAATGTCTGCAGTACCTAATCTTGGCATTCCGTGTGTGGAGTTGTTACATCCACATAACGTATCCCAGTTCTTTATTTTTATCCCTTCCCGCCATCTCTGGTGTTGGGGTTTTAATTACAAATCCAATTGTCTATTGCTTTTGTCCTTGATGTGCTGTTCTGCAACCTCACTGTAATCCCATACTGGTTCTAGTAATCTTTATATGGGCTCTGTGGGATTCTCCACCTAGACGGTCGTCCCGTCTGTGAAGAAAGGCTCTCTTCTTTGTTCTTTTTTTTTCTTTGCAGTGCTGGAGATGGAACCCATGGCATTGCGCAAGGAGCCTCAAAAAAGACATTTTTCCCTTTTTTGAAAAATTGCTTTTCTGGAATCTACAGCAGATTCCCAGTGAGAAAGGAAGCAGTAGAGGGGAAGGAGAGAGAAGGCAGGGGAGGGGTTCATTTCTTCGGAAGGAGAATTTTATTTCTTGTCATTGTCTACCTTTTACTTCCTTGACTTCTCATACATTTTTTATATCTGTTGCTATGACTTCAGGTTTTTTGTTTGTTTTTAATTTTTGAGACAAGGTCTCCCTGTAGTTCAGACTTGTTTTGAATTCACTGTGTGGCTCAGACTGGCCTTGAACTCTTGGTGATCCTTCTGCTTCAACCTCTTGAGTACAGGGATTGCAGGTCTGTGCCACCACACCCAGCCAAAGTTTTTGCTAAGTCACTAAGTTGCCCAGGCTGGACTCAAACTTGTGATCCTCCTGCCTCAGCTTCCCAGAGTGGTGGGAGTATAGGCCTATGCCACCATCTCTGCTCAATGTCAGGAAACCTTTGCCTATATTTTCTTCTGAGTTGTTCAGTTTTAGCTCTTACCTTTAAGTCCTTGGTCCATTTTTATTTCACTTTTGTGTATGGTATAAAATTTTATCAATTTGCTTTTATTTATTTTTGTGGTTCTGGGAATTAAATTCAGATCTTTGCCCTGAGCTGCATCTCATCCTTTTTTTTTTTTTTTTTTTTTTTGTACTGGGGAATCGAACTCGGGTCCTTGCGCTTGCAGGGCGGGCTGCCCATCCCTTTTTGTTTTTTGAGACACAGTCTCACTAAGTTATCCAGGCTGGTCTTGAACTTGAGATTCTCCCGTCTCAGGCTCCCTCGGAGCTGGAGTCACAGGTGTGTGCCATCACATTTAGCTCAGTATTAGTCTTAACTATTCTCCTCACAGCAAAATGATGTTTGTGATGTAATACACATGTTAATTAGCTCAATGTACCTACTCTATAATGTATACATATTTCTAAACATAATACCGAACCCAATAAACATGTTCAGTTTTTGTCAATTTAGAACTAGATATAGGGACTGCCGCCTGCCTCACAAGTGCAAGGTCCTGCGTTTGATCCCGGTACCGAAAAGGGGGGTGCTGAGGTGTAGCTGGCAGAGTGATAGTGTGGGTGCTTAGTAGTTATGAGGCCTTGGGTTCAATCCCCAGCATCAAAAAATAGATATTTTTAAAAATTGAATAAAGCCAGATGGAGTAAATAAATGTAGAAGTTTAACACTAATCAAATGAAAGCTGGAACAGGTCTATTAATTTAAGTTTCACTGTTTTACATGTGGTTATCCAGTTTTCACAGTACCAGTGTTTGAAAAGACTATTTTTTTTTTTTTTGGTACCAGGGATTGAACTCGGGACCTTGTGCTTGCGAGGCAGGCGGTGGAACCACTGAGCTAAATTCCAGGCCCGAAAAGACTATTTTCTATTGAATGATGTTGGTACTTAATGTAAAAAACCATTTTACTTTTTTTGTGAGGGTAACTTTCTGGCCTATATATCCTATTCCATTTGTCCATCTCTCTGTCTTTATGCTAGTACACAGTATAGCAGTTTGTTATATTTGCTTTTTGCTTTATTTTATTTTGCCAGTACTGGAGAGGGAGCCCAGGGAGCATTGGGCTACATCCCTAGCCTGTATTATTATTACTGTTATTATTATTTGCAGTACTGGGGATTGAACCCAAGGGTACTGCACCACTAAGCTGTTTCCCCAGCCCTTTTTATTTTGAGACAGGGCCTTAATAAGTTATACAGGCTGGCCTGGGACTTGTGGCCCTCCTGCCTTATCCTCTCAAGCAGGTGGGATTATAGGCCTGTACCCCTGTGCCTGACCAGTACAGTTTTGGTTATTGCATCTTTGAGTAAGTGCTTGGGAATACTTGCCTCAGCGTGTTTCTTGAAGAGTATTTGTTTTCAGGGTAAGTTTGGTTTCAGAATGAATTTAGGGACTACAGATGAGCTCAGCGGTGGAGTACTTGCCTAGCACATGTGAGGCTGTGTATTCTATCCCCAGCACTGCAAGGAAGAAATAAATGTAGATGTGTTCCCTACCCTTCAGGATTTTGAGTTTGCAAAGATTGGTGTTAATTTTTCTTAAAGTGATAAAAAATAGCAGTGAACCTGCTTGGTTTTGGGAGTTTTTTTTGTTGCTATTAGCATCGTCTTAGTTTATGTTACTGTAAAATTCCCAGGACTGGATGATTTGTGAATGACAGAAACTTATTTCTCAGAGTGCTGGAGGCTCGGAAATTGTTGACCTCCCCAGAAGCTGGTGCGTTAGACGTCTGGTGAAAGCCTGGCTAGCTGCCGTGTTACTGTCTGCACAGGGTAAAAGGTCAGAGCGTCGTCATGAGGGAGGAACCCCGCCCGTCAGAGCAGAGTCCTCACGGCCTAGCTGTTTCCTAAGGTGCCTCCCCCTGTCACATTCCTGCACTGAGGATAACACTGTACATTACCTTTGGAAGGGGACAGGCATTCTAACCGTAGTGGGGATTTTTGATTTCTACTTCATGACCCTTATTAGTTATAGATAGGCTTAGACCTTTTTGTGTTTCTAGAAATGTGTCCACTTCATCTGTGTAATCCAGTTTTTTTTTTCCGTGAGAGGCTTTACAAATTGCATTCTTCTAGTGGTGCTCTTCACTCACACGGGAGCCCTGACACTGTGGTGCTGAGGGCAAAGGAAGCACAGCGTTCCGTTTACCTGTGACCTGGCGTCAGTTTCCTGTCTCTCTGGATTGTGACTTTCATGAGGACTTCTCAGTCCTCCTCTCTCCCTAGTTGCTGCAGGAACGTTTCTCTTTCCCAAGAAGGTCTGTCCGAGTCAAGTTTCTGTTTTTAAACAGCCCTCACTAACTGCGAAAATAATCCCCTTTGTACTGAGAACGTACAGACTACTTTTTGGTCATTATTCCCCAAACAATGCAGTAGAACAACTATTTACTAGCATTTATATTAGGTTTTGTAAGTAAACTAAAGATGGTTCATGGATGTCCAACTTTTTGGCTTGCCTGGAGCGCATTCAGTGAAGAGGAATGGCACTCCCGGCCCTGTAGTTTTTCTTGGAGGAGGGGCTTGAACACAGATCTCTGGGGATATTTCAAGATGGCTACATTCTTCTCTTGGGAGCAAGGTAGTGACTGTAATCTTCACTAGGAGCAGCTGTCAGGGTTTCTGGAGGTAAAACAAATTAGGTGAGTCTACCCTGTAATTTTTATCTCTCAAGCTTGTCCTGTGAGCTGTTAGCAGTTCACGAGTTGCAATTTAGTTTTTTTCCACCCTTGTGCTGCTTTTCACAGAGGTTTCTGTTCCAGTAGATTATTTCCTGGATCTTTGTCTGTGTGTCCATTTGGGGACTGCTGCTTGTCCTCTGAACTCATTTCTCTGATGATGTAAAAGTTTTTGATTTTTTTTGGTTCATTTGCCTTTTTCTTTTTTGAATGTATATTGCCTTGTATGTCTTTATGCACCATGGTGAAAACTAGAGTACTCCTTCCTTTTCCAGTGACGAGTGATTCAGTGCATGTAATCTTGCCCTCTCACACTAGTTCACCCCTTAATCTCAGAGCAAATCCCAGGCCAAGCCATGGTGGTGGAATATACCCATAATCCTAGCCACTCTAGAGGCTGAGGCAGGAGAATTGAAAGTTCCAGGCCAGTTTGAGCAATGTACACTGTCTCAAAATAAAACATCAAAAGGACTGAGAATGTGGCTTATGGTGGAGTTCAGTTCCCTCTGGGTTCATTTCCCAGTCCCACAGTCAGTCAGTCCTTCTCAGACCAGGGTGCTTTCCTGGCTCTCCCAAGGCATTTTATAGCTGCTAGAGCCTTGCTGGCCTGCTGTGCTGCCTGAAGTCTTCAGGCATTTTGACTCTCTCTTTTATGGGGAGTTCCTGGTGTATCAGGTGCTGCCAGATCTGTAAATTGAAACTCAGATCGTTGCAAAGAAAGTAGACAGATTATTTCCTCTTCCATTTTTCAAACAGTTCATTTTTACTATGTGTGTATGTGTGCATGGGTATGCTGAAGGGTCAAATGCAGCTCCTCATGCGTGTTAAGCGTATGCTCTTTAGTAGGGCTAAACCTCTAGCTCCCCCTGGGTGCTGGGTTTTCTTTGTTGCCCATGCTGGCCTGAAAGTCTTGGGTTTGATCAGTACCTCTGACTCCACGTCCTGAGTAGTTTGATCACTGCTGTACTTAGCTCCAGTCTTTAATTGTGTGTGTGTGTGTGTGTGTGTGTGTGTGTGTGTGTGTGTAGAACTGCTGTACTTATCTCCAGTCTTTAATTGTGTGTGTGTGTGTGTGTGTGTGTGTGTGTGTGTGTGTGTGAGAGAGTGTGTCTGATGACCAAGTCATTAAGTAACTTTTGGAGACTAGAATCGTGTGAATTTATGAATTGAGTGTGTTGGTCACCAGGGTTGTCAGTCTCACCCATTCTCATTTACCTATATGTGAGATGTTTTAGGACTTGGTGACCCTTGAGGACGTGGCTGTGAACTTTACTCAGGAAGAGTGGGCTTTGCTGGATCCTTTTCAGAAGAATCTATACAGAGATGTGATGTGGGAGACTGTCAGTAATCTGGCCTCTGTAGGTAAGGATGACATCATTCCTTCACAAGTATTTCTTGGCTATTACTGTTGTTCAGTGTTTAGAATATGAAAGGGGAATGCTTTGATAAATACACAGCCAGGCTCAGTGTATCGTGAAGGTATGATCTAATACATGTTTAAATTCTGTAACAGTTTATGATTCTTTTTCTGGGTCTATATTTTAGGGGTAAAATGGGAAGACCAGAACATTGAAGAGCTGTACCTAATTCCTGGCAAAAACCTAAGGTATTTTGTGTTCATAAGGGAAGCAATGTTCTTAGAATTAAAAACACAGCAACAGAATCAATAACTACAACTTCACATTTTTTTTAATCCCTCAAAATTTTGTCTAGAATAATGCTTAAATGTTACATAGATATTAGTTCACTTGTTTTGATAATTGCTGTGATCCAGACGTCTTACAGAGGACTTAAATTGTTCTCAAGCAATTCTGAGAGGATATAAAGCCCTTGCTTTATATGGTAAGGTTAAAAATATAAGTGTAGTTCTTGTTAATAAATATAAATTATTAAAACAAACACAGCTGGGAGTGGTGGTACATTCCTGTAATCCTGGTCCTTTGGGAGTTGGATGCTGGAGAATTGCAAATTGAAGCCCAGCCTGGACAACTTAGCAACATTTTTTTCTGTCTTAAAAGAGAGAAAAAGGGCTGAGTGTGTAGCTCAGTGTCAAAACTCTTGAGTTCAACCCCTAGTGCTATAAAAAAGAGAGGTAAAAGAAGGAAGGAAGAAAAGCAGTTGTGGCCAGGTGTGGTGATGTAGCTCGTGATTCCAGCTACTCAGGAGGCTGAGGCAGGAGGATTGAGTTAGAGGTCAGCCTGGGTAACATAGGAAGATCCTGTGTGAAAATAAAAACAACACTAAAGCCTTTAATAATGTTTTTCTTACAGAAGTCATGCAGTAGAGAGACTCTGGGAAAGGGTAAAAGGTGCTCAATGTAGCGAAACCTTCAGCCAGATTCCAGATCTCAGGCTCAGGAAGAAAACTCCTGCTATAAAGTCCTATGACTGCCGTGTGTGTGGAGAAATCTTCATCGGTCATTCATCCCTTAATAGGCACATGAGAGCTCACACTGAACGCAAAACTTGTGAACATAAAGATGGGAATAAGACATATCAAGATAAGCAATGTGGAAATGCCTTCAGTATTTGCTGTTCCTTAAAAAAATCCGAAAGAACTTGTACTGAAGAGAAATCCTATCAATGTAAAGAGTGTGGAAAATTCTATATTTCTGTATCAAACTATCAAAGACATGTGGAAAGGCACAGTGGAGATGGACCTTATAAATGTAAGGCATGTGGCAAAGCCTTTTATTCTTCTAATTCTTTTCAAGTACACAAAAGAATTCACATTGGAGAGAAACCCTTTCAGTGCAAACAGTGTGGTAAAAGTCTAAGTACTTCCAAAGCCTTTCAGATACATGAAAGAACCCATACCGGAGAGAAACCTCACAAATGTGAGGAGTGTGGGAAAGCTTTCAACTGTCCTAGTACTTTTCAAAGACATAAAAGAACTCATACTGGAGAAAAACCCTATGAGTGTAAGAAATGCGGTAAGGCCTTTGGTCGTTTTAGTTCCTTTCGAATACATGAAAGAATGCATACTAGGACGAACACATACCATGAATGTGAGGTCTGTGGAAAAGCCTTCATTTCTCTCTCATCTTTTCAAAGGCATATGATAACACACACTGGAGATGGACCTCACAAATGTAAGGAGTGTGGAAAAGCATTCATTAGTTCTAGTGCATTTCAAATACATGAACGACTACACACTGGAGAGAAGCCCTTTGAATGCAAACAGTGTGGGAAAACGCTAAGTAGTGCCAGTTCCTTTCAAATACATGAAAGGACTCACACTGGAGAGAGGCCCTATGAATGTAAGGAGTGTGGGAAAACCTTCAGTTGTCCCAGCTCCTTTCAAAGACATGAAAAGACTCACACAGGGGAGAAGCCGTATGAGTGTAAGCAGTGTGATAAGGCCTTTAGTCGTTCCTGCTACCTTCAGATGCATGAAAGATCTCACACTGGGGAGAAGCCCTATACTGGGGAGAAGCCCTATCAGTGTAAACAGTGTGGTAAGGCATTTCGTAGTTCCAGTTCCTTTCAGGTTCATAAAAGAACGCACACCGGAGAGAAACCCTATGAATGTAAAGAATGTGGGAGAGCCTTCAGTTGTTTAAGTTCATTTAAAAGACACGAGAAGATTCACACCGGAGAGAAACCATACGCGTGTACATTATGTGGTAAAGCCTTCGGGCGTTACAGTTCCCTTCAAATACATGAAAGGAACCACACTGGGGAGAAACCGTACGAATGTCAAGAATGTGGTAAGGTCTTCAGTAGTTCCAGTTCCTTTCAAATACATAAAAGGACTCACACTGGGGAGAAACCCTATGTATGTAAAGAATGTGGGAGAGCCTTCAGTTGTCCCAGTACCCTTCAAAAACATGGCAGGACTCACACTGGAGAAAAACCCTATGCATGTACAAAGTGTGGGAAAGCTTTCAGTCGGTCCGGTAACTTTCAAACACACCAAAGACTGCATTGTGAAGGGAAACTGCACAAATATAAAATGGGTGTGTAGGCCTTAATTTGTTATAGGGCCTTTGAAAAGCGTGGAAGAACTCGTGTTGGAGAGGCACTTCGTACAAAGAATATGGGAAGGTTTTCTTTGTGCAGCTTTCTAGCATATTTGAGAATGGATATTGGTGAGAAACCCTATAAATGTAGATAGTGACTATTGCTTTTGTGTCCCACTCCAGTTTGAAGCCATGAACAATGAAGACAATATAAAAAGAAATTGTAAGTAGCTTACATAAGCATTCAGTTGGCTCATATTGTTACAGAAATGGATGTGAATTACCTGGGGATTAGTTGTGTAGCTCTTTAGTAGAGGGCTTGCATCATGATCACAAGGCCCTTAGTTTGAACCCAGCACTACCACCAGAAAAAGAGGAAAGGAAGGAAGGAGGGATTGTAGGAGGTAGGGAAGTGCAGAGGGAGAACATGCACTCTGGATTAAAAATTTGAAAATGTGACAACGTTTCCCATTTTAACAGGACTTAAGCAAACTAGATTAAAAATTTGACAGTTTTTGGGGTCTTGTATGTAGAGTATCATATCATCAGCAGATAATGACAGTTTAACTTCTTCATTTCCTATCTGTATTGCTTTTATTCCTTTCTCTTGTCTAATTGCTATGGCTAATGTTACCAGAACTGTATTGAACAGGAGTGGTGATAGTGGGCATCCTTGCCTTGTTCCTGATTTTAGTGTGAAGGTTTTTAGTTTTTGACCATTTAGTATGATGTTGGCTGGCTGTTGGGTTTTCATAGATGACCTTTAACAAGTTGAGATAAAGACCATCTTTTCCAGTTTTCTGCCGGGTTTTTTTTTTTTTTTTTTTTTTTAAATCATGAATGGGTGTTGAGTTTTGTTGAGTACCTTTTTTTGCATCTATTGAGATGATCATATGGTTTTTGTCTTTAACGGAATATAGTATATTACATTTATTGATTTACATATGTTGAACTATCCTTGCATCCCTGGGATAAATGCGACTTGTGATCTTCTTGATGACCCTCTGTATTCTGTTTGCCGGTATCTTACTGAGGATTTTTGCATCCATGTTCATTAGGGAGATGGCCTATAGTTCTCTTTTTTGGTTGGGTCTTTCCCTGGTTTTGAATCAAAGTAACACTTGCTTCCAGGAATGAATTAGGAGGTATTGCTTCCCTTTCAATTTCATTGAAACGTTTAAGGAATAGTGACAGTCGTTCTCTAACTATCTTGTAGAATTCAGCAGTGAAGCCTTCAGGACCTGGGCTTTTCTCTGTTGGTGTATTTTTATTACATTTGCAATTTCACTGATTGTAATTGGGGTGTTTAGAATTTTTTTAAATCTTGTTCAACTTAGGTAATTCATATGTGTCTAGAAATCTGTCCATTTCTTGGAGTACAAGTTCTGATGATCCTTTGGATTTCTGCTGAATCTGTTGTGACTTCACCTTTTTCATTCCTAACTGCATGGATTTGAGCCTCTTTAACACCCCCACCTTTGTACCAGGGATCAACTCAGGACCTTGTGCTTGTGAGGCAGGTGGTGGCGCCACTGAGCTAAGTTCTCAGCCTTCTTTCCTTTTTTTGATAAGGTTGGCTAAGGCTTTATCGATTTTATTTATTCTTTTGAAAAACCAACTCTTCAGTTTGTTGTTGTTGTTGTTGTTTTTTTGTATTGTTCTCTTAGTCTCCATTGCATTGATTTCTGCTCTGTTCTTTATAATTTCCTCCCTTGTACTAGCTTTGGGTTTTTCTAGAAGCTTAAGATTCAGCATTAGGTTGTTTATTTGAGCTTGCTCTGTTTTTCTAGTGTAGGCATTCACTGCTATGAATTTTCCACATAGAACTACTTTCATTGTATCCCATAAATTCCTGTATGTTGTACTGGCATTATCATTAAATTGTAAAAACTGTCTAATTCTTCTTTAATTCCTTCTGTGATCCATTGGTTTTCAGGAGAGTGTTATTCAATTTCCATGTGAAGTTCTTGTGGTTTCTTATGCTATTGAGTTTCAGTTTAATTGCACTATAATCTGATAATATACATGGGATAACTTCAATTCCTTTGATTTTACTTAAACATGTTCTGTGAGGGGCTGGGGATTTAGCTCAGTGGTTCTGTTGCCTTCCTCGCAAGCACAAGGACCCGAGTTGGATCCCCAGTACCAAAAAAAAAAGAAAAAAGAAAAAGAAAAAAATATGTTCTGTGAGCTATTATGTGGTCTATTTGTGAGAATGACTCATGTGCAGCCAAAAAGAATGTGTATTCTGATTTTGTGGAGTGGAACCCCCTGTAGATGTCTATTAAGTCCATTTGTTCAAAAGCTTTGTTCAGTTCTAATATTTCATCAGTGACATTTTGTCTAGATGATCTATTTGTGACAGTCGGGTATTGGGGTCCCCATGACTATTGTATTAGTGCTTGTTTGGTTTTTCATGTCTCTTAATATTTGTTTTGCGTAGTTGGGGGCAGTAGTGTTTGGTGCAGATATATTTATGATTGTCACCTCTTCCTCTTGGATTGTTGTTCCCTTTACAAGGATGTAGTGACCTTCTTTGTCTCCTAATTAGTTTTGGTTTGAGATTTACTTTTTCTGCAAATAAGATAGCTACCCCCACTTTTTTTCTGGGTTTCTGTCACATGGAGAACTGTTTTCCATCCTTTTACTTTCAGTCTGTGAGTTTCTTTTTGAACTAGGTGTGTTTCTTGTATATAGCATATTATTGGATTTTGCTGCTTAATCCATTCTGCCAGTCTGTCTTCCCTCCTCTCCCCTCCCCTTCCCTTTTTTTGGTACTGGGTCCTTGAGCTTGCAAGGCAGGTGGCAGAACCACTGAGCTAAATCCGTGGTCCCAGTCTGTTTCTTTTGATTGGTGAATTGAGACCATTAACATTGATGGTTATAACTGATATGAATTGACTATTGTCATGTTATTTTCCTGTTGTTGACTCTTTTATATTTTTCTCCCTCTGTCACGAGCCGCAATGTCAGGATCCTGCCAGCAGGTCCTAAACCTGAAAGGAAGGGCAACAGGAGAGAAAACAGTCCCACGGACTTGGTTCCAGGCTCATGCTCTCTTCGTAGCAAGGCCCTGTTTATTTTTCAGGGTGGAGTATATATAGGCTAAAACCGAAACCAAAAGTGGGAACAGGGTGTAGCTGACTGCAAAGGTCACGGTGCTCTACAAAACAACTATTATGGGTTACATTACTATGGCAACATAGGGTGATGGGCTACCCACTGGGAATCAGACAACAGGCTGCCATGGCACAGGCACGTAGGCTGGGTCCAGGTTTAATCACAGGTGAATCATAGCTGTTCTTATGTCAAGGCTCACCATAATTCCCCCATTTTTCTTTGATAGCATGAAGAATGCTAGCAATAGGCCATTCATCATGCATGAGCCAAGGAACCTCTGTCTTAGGCGGCAGAAGTCTTCCATCTCCTTACCCGTCATCAGTCGTAGGGCCTATGTCCCAATACGACCTGTCTTAGGTTGGTAGACAGAAGCTTCCGTCCTTACCCATCACTGAGCATTCCGAGGCGGGGAATCTAGGCACGTCGAGCCTGAGCCAAATAGATTGCTACGCGTGTTGCATCATCACCTAAAGAAGCCTGTACAGCCATAGCTAAATGCTCGTATTTAAATTGGGAACGCTTCCAGCATCGATATGAACAGTAACCCAAAATACACATCCCAATCATAACAGCAATCACAATAAGCCATATAACAGTCCAAGAAGGTGAAAACAGCCTCTTCAAATTTTCCCAAACTTCTGTAGCAAAATCTAAATCAAGCCTGATAGAATTAGCATGAACACCAGACAAGATCTCAATATCCAATGATAACTGATTAATTGCATTTAAAAATGTCCGATTCCAAGACCCTCGCAATAATGACGAAAGTCGTCTAACTTCCTCAGAATGGTTTTTGACAGGAAAGGGAGTAAGACAGAGTTGTTGAAATCTGGGATCACAGTCCAATCGAGTATCTAACCACAATGCTTCAGCTTCTTCATTTAATAAGTCCATTTGTTGAAGTATAGCCAATCCAGTTCCAATGTAAGGGTTGATGCATTTTTGGGTTCGTAGAGCCGTGGTTGTAGTGTTTTGAAGATCATTGATGGTGGCTGCGTTCTGTAAAGTTCCTGTTAACGCCACTGCGGAGGTGATGGCAGACACCAAGGCTATGATGCCAACGGTGATGCCCGCCACCACGGCACCTGCCACTCTTTTTCTGCGAGAAGGGGAGGAGGTCTGTGCCCAAACAACAGTGGAGAAGTGGTTAGAAATAGTCAAAGGAATCCACACCTGAACGAGAATTCGTAAGATGGCCATAGATGTCAGGTTATCCTTAGCTGGAAACCAACACTGACCGAGAAAACAGTATTCCTGAGAGCAATTGGGTAATCGTGAGTTATTAGTCCACAACAACAATACAAAAGGTGATCTAACACATATTCCAGAAGCTGAAAAGGCAATGGATTTCAGATATTCGGGGACAACAGGGCTAAATTTTGCAGGACAATTATTGTTACTGGACCCAGATCCTTCTGAGCCTGAAAGATTAATAGAATACCTGGTAGAACAATTATACCAGGTCATATTGGAGGGAAAGAGAAAATAAAAAGGTCTAAATGGGGTACAAGCATATGGGCCACAAAGTTGGCTCATGCCAAAAACATTTTCACCCTTCTGTGGCTCAGGAAAGCCGTAAATTCCAAAATTCTTTGTGAAATTGTAGGAATAGGCAAATTGGGGATAGCATTGTTCCCATGGCAAGAGTGTGTTTTGGCCTCAAGTTTCATAACTACATTCCACTCCCAAAGGATGAGGACCTGGATATGGCAGGGGGTAAGAATTATCATCGAACGTTGCATTAAAGTGACGACCAGAAATATTCCAAGTTGTCTGATACCAGTTAAATCGCAACTGATTAAGACCATTGGCAAAAAAATGAGAAAAATAAGAGCGAGAGGGAACCAAGTGATTTTCTATCAAGGGTAGACAGGTGGTGTTGCTCATATCATCATTAAAGGTAAAGCAAATGGTATCCAAAGGAAGATCAAAAGAAGCATTAATGGAAGTGGAGGCTTCATAATGTTGCCAGGGAAGACCTAGGCTATTATTGGTAGTGAAAAGCTGTGGAAACAGAGGGGCTTCCTGGCTCACTCCCTGTGGCCGAGGAAAAAAAGGAACAGAAGCCCAAAAAACTTCTCCCACTATGGGAACTATTAAAAGGCAACCTAGAAGCATAAACGCCTTCATTTTAGTTGACTATGATAACCTTCTTAATAAAAATAGTCCTATAAAGCTAAAACGAACTATCAAGCACCCACTAACAATAAACTTTTACTTTCTAATTAAGTTTCCTTAAAACACAAAAAGAAACAAGCAACTCCTAATCACAGCAATCAATATGACGAATGTCAGTCAGAGGGTGATGTCCATCAGCGACGGCTCACTAAATTAGGTCTCTGTGTTCTCAGAGGAAGGGCATTGGCGAATTAGTCATTCCGGGATCCACCGAGGCCACTCGTCGTCCTGTGGGAAGACACAAGCAG